AATCATTTTTATTTTATTTAAACAAGAAGACTACTATTCTCTATTATTTAAAAGGCTAAAAAAAATTAGATTTTATTTTACACAGATACTAATATCTTATGACTTATCAAAGTAATATTTGTTTATTCTATTATTGTTGATCATCGAGTTAATATTGTGTTGGTGATTTTTTATCACTTGTATTTACAAGATGCCGATTCTCAGAATTCCGAGAAGATTTGGATGCTTAATATTATGTTTACATTTTATGTTTGTCGATGTCGAGCTATTTGTGTTTGTTTGAGATTTTTTACGATTTTTATTAAATGTGATTCTTTGTCTAAAATAATCAAAACTAAGGAAATTTATACTTTTATTATTCTAATGTTTATTTTATAACGTTTGCAATTTTCATTTTAACGGATTATAAATGTAAAACAAGATTAATACATTTTTGGGAACATTATTAATAATATTATTTTATTATACTTAAAAAACTTTAGATTTAATAATATTTTGAGTGACTTTCTTTTTTTAAATAATTCAGATTATATTTTTTTATAGAAAATTCCTTACATTTTATATGACAACATTACTTTTAGTTTAAATTTCTTAAAAATAATTTTGCATATTCTACATATATTAAAAATCTCAAGGTTAAAGCTTGTTAAATAATGCAAATCTGGCTATTTTAAACTATCTATATTATTAATAAATTGATCCCTGTTTCTTATTTTTAACAGTATTATGTACCAGAAAAGAATATTCACGAACTACTCACACGGAGAAAATTTAAAACTTCAATATCAGTATATTTTTAAATGTATACATGATATTTGTGTTTAAAATAATCGTTAATGGGTTTAACTTTATATTTTAAGTAATCATTAATTATTATAATTTAGTCAGTAAAATAATTCAGCTTTAAATTTAAAATGATATAATTACTATTGACAGTTTAGTTCTTTATACACTAATTATTTGAAAAAGAGAATATATAAGACAGCATAAGGATGAACTGTCTTCTATTAAAATTATGAATTTGATAATTTAATTTAATTTAAAAATTAATTACGAAAGGAAAATGTTATATTTTTAATTAAACGGTAAAAATCTAATTAATGTATATTTTTTCTTTTGCTATTAAATGTATTTTTAAACACTATGGGTACGTTTAATTTTAAAAGATAAAATATTTGTAGTAACAGCAAGAGCTTGATGATTGATGACGATGAATAATTGTGAAGTATAACTATACTATTATTTAACATAAACGTAATATAATCACTATATAAATAAAAAAATCATTAACTGATAGTTGTTTAGTAATCGAAAATTCGTACAAAACAATTACGTAAATATAAATAGCTTATTCAAAATAAATTATTCTCATTTTGTATTATTTTTCTTGAGTTACACTGCTCTGTAAGAGCTTCAAGTAACAATGTATCATTATTTTTTTCATGTTCATCAACGATGTACTGTTACTCAATCAATAATTTCGATTCTCTCGTTTGATACATGTTTTATTTGCGTCGTATAATATTTTGCATTATTCATTTATGTGTTTCTAATATTTTCTATTAATTTTTTTGGGAAACTAAGATTTCTGAGAGCTGGTAAATCTTTAACTTATTTTGACGAAGTATGCAATGTTAATATGTAATGAAACTCATCAGCTATTTGTTGTATAATATAATTAGTGAAAAATGATATGCTACATTTTTACTGTGATAAATTTCTGTAATTTCTATAATATATTGTGTTTGTATTTTTTGTGCAATCATATAGTTATTAAATTTTAATATTGTACTATTTATAGTACGTTATCTATGAATTATAATATATATTATATCAATATATTATTATATATTATTTTTTTGTATATATAAATTATATTTTATATGTATATATATGTATATATATAATGTGTGTGTGTATGTTTGTGGTGTGTTTGCCACCAGAGTTTATGGTAGTTTATTATAATAACTCTTTTTGATCATTTTGAAAAGTGTTTTCTGTTATAAAGGATTCGGGAATATGCCAGATTCACGTACAGTTTTAATTAGATTCGAGTACAGATTATAGCATTTTCAATTTAATAGAGAAACCGTAAAAGCACAATATGTACTTATGCACAAAGGAATTTCAATAAAATTATAAAATACCAAGTATTATTATTATTATTATTTATAATGTAAATTATGTGAGTTGAGAACAGAGACTTCGAACCTAACTGCAGACTTTACATATCATACGTACGTTACTGTTAATGACACCAAAGCGCCATACTATACAGCCATGGGTTATATCCACAACACGATCAAAAAGTTATTTATTCTTTATTTTTATTACTATCAAAAAGCTTATTGTGATTTCTTAGAAGTCTTTGTTACATTTTTTTGCTTAGAGTTTGCCCGTTTCAAACGTACGTTGTTGAGTTATGTTTATACACCCTCTGGCGGCCATCACCCACCCATATCATGTATTGCTGTTCGAGTCAGCTATTTTTTCTTTTTCTCTGTACAACATCTCTTCCGGCACTTTAATTTTTAGAATATTTTTGCAATATTACCTCATGTTAGATATTTGAGTACATATTTCTTAAATACTTGAAAATAATAATAATAAAGAACAAGTATGTTGAAAATCAATCGATTTTGTAATTTTACTGTACGAACGTCCGGAATTTAAATTTTCCAGAACGACCTATGTTTTATAAATTACATACATGTGTTATTATATAGATGGCCAATTACATGAGACTTTTAAAAATGTTAATATTGGTAAATATCGTATACTTGCTGGAATAAATACTTAAATTTTAACGGTTACAAAATCATCTGTATTTGAGAGATGTCCATATTTGTATAGTTACCAAAAATAATAATCCTTTATTCGTCAATCGAATTGGTAGAAAACCCACAGTACCACAATTATTTCAAAATAATAAAATTAAATCTTTATTCTTATCTTTCTTATCTTATTTTCTTTATAATTCATAATTCAAAGTATAATTTTTACATGTCGGTGTTATGAACTTACAAAATAGGCACTCAATTGTTCGTACTAGGTATACAACTTAATAAATAAATGTAAAAATAAATAATTTATTAAATTTTAAACGTAAAGCGTTTAACAAAATTTTTAATAGTTTTAATGCTAAACGTAAATTCATATCTGACGAATTTTTTACACGAAATTTCATCACATAATGTATTTTTAATTTATTTCCTACCGACAGTCTTGTAAAGTATTCGAATACAAGTATTTGAATCAGTGGCGCAACCAGGGGGGTGGACTTCGGGTCTGGACCCCCCCCCCCCCCTTGGTACGTATAATAGTATATTAATATCATATTCTAGATATATATATTATAATTTTTTATTATTTGTATATTAGTTTATTTTGTCAGACCCCCCCCCATGAAAAATTCCTGATTGCGCTACTAATTTGAATACATGTATTTTAATACTTTTTGAAGTATTTTTTGGTATTCTATATACAATTTTTTTAAAGTATTTTTTTAAGTATTTTGAAATATTTTTAAAAGTATTTTTAACAATTTGTAAATACTTGTATTTAAATACCACAAAGTTCGTTTAAGAAATTGTATAATCATAATAATTCTCTATCCTAATAATTGTTCCTACTTCTAAGAATAATTTTATATGGGTTTATTATTGTAATTTTTAAGGACATTTCTTCAAATAGTTCCATATTAATAGTTAATACCATTTTTTATTCATTTTTTTTGTCATTTAATTGTATTAATACTAATAGATATATATAATATGTGAATGAAATATGTGAACATGACCTCTAAATAGTCAGACATGTTTTGTATTTTTCAAATTGTTAAATCTACAGTAAATAGTATCATAATATAGGTATCTAAACTAATATATAATCAGTGGCATAGACACAATTTTTTTCTATTTGAGGGGGGGGGTGGTTAACTATAATATTATATAATATAAAATTAAAAAAAAAAATACTTGTATTTTTATTTAAATACTTAGTGAGTATTCGTGAAATACATTTTTATAATAGTATTTTATAAGTATTTTTAATACTATTTTATTCGAATACTAGTATTAGTATTTTAATACTTTTTCAAAAGTATTTTTTACAAGTCTGCCTACCGATAAATGGTATAGTTCGTCAAATTGTTATTAAAGAGTATGTAATATAATTTCAATTTGTAAATATTTTTAAAAACAATAACCTAATCGATATCTACAAAGATTTTAGAAACTTTTTATAAAATATATATACATATATACATATATATATATATATGATTTTATTTTAAAATCAAAATAACATTAAGATGAATTATTTCGTATACTTTCATTCAGACGAGTCATGTAAAATGCAAAGTATCAAATGGGCGAAATATATTAAATAGTTTACTACGCACATAAACGTTTAACGAAAAAAAAATTATATTATTATATATATACGTTTAAATCATAACTTAAACTTAAAATTAAACTTACTCGATTTCAGTTTATCAGTAGATAAGGTACAATAATGTATATATTTTCTAAAAATCGAAGATAACCGCGATACGACAATAGTATTTTATAATTTTTTTTAATACTCATATTTTATTTTGTTCAATTAAATTGATACCCGCGGTCCACAAAAAAAAATTTACCTCGTGTCTGATATGCCTGATCCTAATTAATATTTCCATTAAATTTCGTGTAAGAGAAAACTATTTCGTAACGAAATATACTATACACTTTTTATCTCGAACAGTTTTACTATTATTACCTCAGAGTACATTATTATATTCCTGTGAAATACCATGTACGTTCTATACCTTGACATCAGGGAAACAATGCAGACGTTAATAATCGCTCATCAATATAAATTTTTGTATTGGAATCATTGGTACAGCTGCACGGTGTTCGCACCGGTAAGGTTTACATTTATGTCAAAAAATGAGGAGGTCCCGAACGCTATTGCTTAATTAACGTTGTACCATTAATACGTTGTCATTTATGTTCCAGGTATATCGATGCACAAAGGATTTGCTTTCGTTCAGTTTACTAATCCCTTTGACGCTCGCAGCGCTTGTGTCGGAGAAGATGCGAGGACAGTTTTGGGACAGACACTGGGTAATTATTGTAACACAATGGTAGAATAATACGCACATGTTATTTAAATGGCATGTGTTTACGGTTTATTTTTTATTTCTATTATTTTCATCGTTTTTGTTATCTAAAGTTTTTTTCCATTCTTGAGGTTTGGCAAAACAAAAACAAAACAAAAATAAAATAATAAAAGCGTACTCGACGTGTCTTATGTGTTTACTTGCACTTGCGCTTGAACATTCGATCGGGTTACACAGTAGCAGTACGTTGTGTATACGATTACATGCATGCGGTTGTCATTATTTTTTTAATTATTTATTTATTATACTTTCAAATATTTTTGTACTCGGCTCGGATTGTTTGGAGTCCGTTTATTATTAACAATGTTATTTTGACTTATGTTATAGATAAATTATAAATGATGAAACACGTAATTTGTAGGGATTCATATTTTAAAAAATTGATGCTTGAAAAATAACTCACAAAGTACCTACTGAAATACTGTAAGGCTTCTTCTTTAGAGAAACCATACTCGTATAGTTTAAATTATTGTATAATTTATACATTCAAATCATAAATATCTAGTGATACAATTTTTCCCCCTCAGAGAAAACATATAGAGTCATAATAATAATGAGAATTTAGTATATATAGTTCGTCCTGTATCTGAATAGTTTACATAGGTTGTTTGAAAATAGGAAATACTTTTGGTATGAATTTATTTGTCTATTTTTATTATTATTTAATACTGATTATTAATACTTCCTATCGTAAAATCGAAATTTTCGAGAAGAATGTGTTTCGATAAGAAATATGTATTATTATTCCGTCATCTATAATAATATAAAAAAAAAATTTTAACTGAAAATTGAACTATTCCTTCCGCGGTCGCATTTACCATAAAACACATTTATACCTGTATGTCTTATTTTTGGTACTGCTCCTGTGCAATATGCAAAATCTTTTAAGCCGTTGTGCATCTATAGCCCAACACTTTTGAACATTTTTATAATAGTTTTTGATTATTCCTCGTTGCTCTCAATGGTGCGCGGGAGTGCCTGTCGAGGATCAACCGCAGAGTTATCTGAACATTATTCACCCTGTACATGCGCGTACATCAATCGGATATATAATGCCGTTTTATTATTCATTTGTTCGCACCTTTTCTATTCCGCCCTTGGCGCACCTTTGTTTTCTTTTCTATTAGCAATCGAGTGGAGAGCGCATATAAGTAGGGCATTCCGGCAAACCCGCAATTTCATGCATATTGTATACGTACGCAGTCAGATCGACTCGACTACAGGGGCAGAAACGGTATAATAAAATCATAATTCTTTTTTACTGCCCGTGTTCGACCTGCTCCTTAAACGTTAGTCGGCCACAACTGTGGGTAGAGGATGGTGTGTGGATAGACCGAAAAGTGTAATGTAAACACACACACACACACACACACACACACACACACACACATACATACACATTGTACCATTTCCGAATGAATTGGATGAAATTAAATTGTATTACTAGTGGATAAGATAATATAGGCGATATCGCGTTTAAGAAGGAAAAAAAAAGGAAACCGTTATAATTTTACTTCTTTCTTATTTTTTATTTCATTTTTACTCTCACGCTCGATGAATAGCACATGAGAGAACCAGGCACGACCGTGCGCCCGTGAGAATTTAAACAGTTTGGCGTTGTGCATGACAGAAGCGATTCAAAGTTTCAGAAGTCGTTACAACTCCACCCTTTTTTATACAAATATATATAGTGGGCGTGGGCGCGAGGGCGAAAGAGTAAGAGAAGAGGTTAGGGGGCAACAAAGTGCCTAGAAAGTACCCGAAGATAATTTTGTTCATTTTGACATTGCAGCAAATTATATTGCGCTTTTTTCGTCTTCTGTACATTCCCATCGTCTTTACGTTGGCTTCTCGCTGATTCGACACACGAACGCATGTTTTTCAATTGGCCTCGTGGGGCCGTATGCGTATGAAATTTTAAAAAAAAAAAAACGGAGAAGCCGAACATGTTTTACCTGAATTGATTTGTGGTTTTATCGAAAACGTCTCAAACTTTCATAATGTATATTTAAAATGTATACACCACAATATATACAAAGAAACGGAATTGGAATCTATACATTATTTATTTTAAACTTCACAACAAAAATACAGTTAAAAATCCACTTAGAATTTTATAAGCCAATGTGCTAATCAAGTAACCGATTACAATACATTGCAATAATATATTATAAATTATTATAATAACACGGTTTGAGTAAATTGATTGATTGGGTTTGTATAGCAGGTACAATCGACTTCGAATGATTATACATTGATTTTCGATACGATCAAAACCAAACATTTGATTTATAATCTATTTGATTTAGTAGTTATATGTTTGAAGCTATAGTTTTGAACGCGAATGTGAATTTTGAACTGATTTTGAAATTGATAAAAGACTTTTAACTGAATCTTTTATCCAAACCAGTGGTTCTCAACCTTCATTTGTTCACGGCACACCATTTACATCACAAGTTTTCGTGGCACACTCATGCACTTGACAACAACAAAAACTTTGGCTATGCACTAAGATATCCAGTTGGGTTAAAAGCGTATAGTTTAACTACATATGTACCGTATTATCTGCACAATTAATTGACATTTAACTGTCATAGTTTATCAAACGGTATTTTCAAATATTAGGCATTTTTCATAGCGCACCTAGTCGATCTCGCGGCACACCGGTTGAGAACCACTGATCTAAACACTAGGAAAAAAATTATCAATAAGACGAACTATATTTATTATAATTAGTTCATATAATTTAAGAACATGTTAAATTTTGTGTTGGTTATTCATAGAACGCATTTAAAACTCTTCCATGACTATTCAAAGAAAGAAAATTAATTAATTTTAAAAACTAATATTCAAGTGATATAATATAATAACAGCTAGTAATTGCATAATCACAGCTAAAAGCTATGTGTTAGACTTAATGTGCATGTAAAAATGTTGTAACGTGTTTTGTAGGATTTCAAAATAACTTTAATACAATTATTGGTGCCATGTATATTACGATTATATTACTGGGGATGGATATTGTAAAAATTTAATACATTATATTCAAAAATAGAATTCCTAGAATTTGAAGTTCTGAAACGTTTTCCAAATTGAGGGATGTATTGCTTTTTAATCTCGAACGTGGGAGAGGAATAATGTGTCCCGTGGAAAAAATAAGTATCCAGAGAGATAGAGAGAAAAAGTGAACGGATGATAAAGGCGAGGAAAAGGTTGTTTTTGATTTTTTTTTTTCCCCTACATAATACGCGCTCGTTGTTTCCTAGATAAAGGTGATTCGCATCGTGTTGACGTTATTTCGTTTTAATGGTCATTCCATGTTTGTGCCAACTGCGGGCAGGCCCGGAGGCGCAACGTGCACTCAATCTTCCCAGCCGAGCCGGTAGATTTATACACTTCTTTCCCAAGAACGTCATTCATTTCGAACGCGCAACAAGACATATTGATATTACTGTTACAATTATCGTTATTATTTTTCCCGGTCAGGTACACTCCAAAACCGAAACGAGATTGCTGGTTAACCTCGTTCCGCAACCGCTACCACACTCGTGCAGCTCGTGCGCGCGCGTCTGTTCCACGTGTATGCGTGTATTGTCATTCCGTGTGTACGGACATTGTAATAAATGGCCGAGCACACGCCAACGTTAAATCGAGGAGGATTAGTTTACAGCGATAAGCACCACACGCGCTTGTGTGCACGGGCCCGCTTGGAAGTTCCGTATCTCGACGGAATATCTTGTTCACACACGGTCCCGTGAAAATCTATTTACACACGCGCCGTGCACAACGCGTTCAAAGTTTATAAATCGTTTACCGCACTGTATAGTGTGTATATATTTATTATTATTTTTTTTTTTTTTTTACCGTTAAAAAGATTTATTATTATTGTGAGTGTTTTTGGTAATTTTTTTTTCTTTCCTCGACCTATCCAAGAGCATTTTTTATTTTTTATTCTTAATTTCGTACATAATATTATTCATATCGGTAAAATCTGTAGCATGCTTCCACGACTTCGCGTAACTTCCTCGCGCTGCACTACCGCTCGTATCAATTGCTTCGAAGATTTCGTACACTGTGCGTGGCGGAATTCTAGTCGAGAAACAAGACGTCCTGGTAAGAGCTTTTTGGTCATTTCTCAGTGGTTTTCCTTTCACGTCATTCGTTTATAAATTATTCATTTATTTACACAATATTATTACATTATATTTGCCGCAAAAATAATCGAGAGTTTACCGCGTTTCTATTCAGCAAGAGGATGATATACGAACTCTAAACGTTGGTATGAAATACCCCAAGTACTATTGTTCTAATAAAGTACTGAACCTACAATACTTTTGAATATCATTTTACCTAAGATGAAACACTACAAGCATTATCGGACAAAGGATGTTTAAAATATTTTTTTTATTTTGAATATTGTTTTCGACCCCGATAAGAACAATAATAATACGATTTATTATTACATTTCTGATAGTTGATGTACTTCTATCGTTTTTTTCCAGATTATTACTAAAAAATTGTTTTCAATAAAAAAAAAAAAAAGCTTCAAGTATTTATATACAAAAATTTGAAATATTTAACACAGCCTTAAATTGTTTGTTAGTTAACTTTTAACAATCTAAAGAATACAATTTTAAAAAAATGAGTTTCCCTATTTAAAAATCAAATTAATACATCATCCGTGATAAAAAAAAAAGTTTTATTCGTGTATTGAAAATCGAAAAAAAGTTTTGATAAACTTGAATCTTCTCCCTCTCCTTCGCCTTTCTCCCAACTATTTGGGGTTGGCCAGTTAAACTTGAATACAAAAAAAAAAATAAATAAATAAAGGAAATATAAATAAATTATTTAATAAATAATTTGTCTGTAATTTTTTACCGAATTTTTAAGGATATACTTTATATAAATGAGAAATATGTTTCGTCAATCCTTGTATTTTTTTAG